TTTGCTGGGGTGGTAAATTCAGACACTTCTCTGCATCAGGTACAACAATTTGAAATGCTGAGATGTCCTCAAGCGAGGCCATCTGTTGGGTCTCTCTGTAAATCATTGCTACTGCATTCCAGTCAGATGCTTAATCAAAGGAAAAGAGAAAGTTGCTCAGTGCTGAATCACACTATTTGTCCATCTAGCTGAAATGGGATTTCTTCAGTTCTCATACCTAAGATAGTGATCTGGAGATGCCAGGCACTGAACCAGGTGAAAAAAAGTCCCTCAACTAATTAATAGTCTCCCTGAGGGACTATTTGCCATCTTTTAGCCCAAAACAACCCCATGGAATTATTCTGTGGAAAATTGAATGTATGTATGTTTTGGTCTAATAATCAGAGGTGAATAGAAATGGGGGTAGGGGGCGAACATCTCATTTTTGCTTTCTGTCTCACGTAGCATCTGCTTTCACATTCATCTAATTCTTATTCTCTCCTCTTTTTCCCTTTGCCATAGTGGTAACTCAGGGTTGAATTGTTGGGGTTTTCGTGTTCTCTGGGCTTCCTTCTCTGCCTGCAGATGCCCAAACCAACAACAATTATCAGGGGTGGATTTTGCTGGCTGTTTATATGTGGTAGCTTGTCTTATCAGCAGAGTTTATGGTATTGTTTCTTCTTTGATTGTTCTGGTTTATTCGGATCTGGTTCCTGCTTATTTGCATATTGGCTAATAAGTGTGTGATGAGGAAGGACATGTTTAGGTCTGCTTTTCTCCTTTCTTGACTTTTGGTTGCTTCCTTTCTTGAATGATTCGTAGATGGAGCTTATCTCACTTCTTTGATTGTTCTGGTTTATTCGGATCTGGTTCCTGCTTATTTGCATATTGGCTAATAAGTGTGTGATGAGGAAGGACATGTTTAGGTCTGCTTTTCTCCTTTCTTGACTTTTGGTTGCTTCCTTTCTTGAATGATTCGTAGATGGAGCTTATCTCAACATGTCTGTTAAGGGCTGATTCGTCAGAGTGCTGCACCTCTAGAATTCTCTTGCATTTTTGAATCTGGTTTGTTCTGAGACATCGATTGTTTCCAACCGAATTTGTGGTTGCACTTGTCCATGTGTTTTCATTATGTCTTCTGACTGCTAGTTGATGTTCATAGATGTGTTTTCTCAACAGATTACTATAACCCTCAGCATCATGGCAGCCCATAAACTAACAAAATCTATCCAAAGCATCCTAAGCAAACCCAAAGACCCAACAGACAAAGAAGATGAAACAAGAGTCATTTACAATATACAATGCAAGGACTGTGAAAATTACAGTGGGACAAACAAAGAATTGAGAGAACACAACCATGAACATCACACATTTGTTAGCCAGCATCTCGCTAAGCAGGAACCATCTCCAGATAAACAAGAACAATTAAAATCCCATCCACAAAGCAATTTAGGAAGGGACAATACCCCAATCAAGGCTGCTAACACAAACTACCATATGTGATCAGCCAGCAAACTCCACTCTCCCATGCACTGGTGATGCTACCTAGCCTAGCAATGAAATGTCTGCAGGAAGAGAAGCAATCTCAAAGAATACCAAGAACCCAACAATTTTTCTCTCTGTAACTCCTCTTCTTACTCTTGTTCTTGGTTCCACTTTCTATACAGCTGTTATCTTAAGGAAAAGTTTCATCACTGATGGAAGTTTTTCAGATGCCTAAAAGTGACATTTGGGATTGCAATGCTCAGAGGGGATTAACTTGTCTCTCTAGCTGCAGTCAGGTTTTCAACAAACCTCTAGAGGCATCAAAGGAATATGGTGGGAGAGAGGGGTCTGCTGGCCAGGGTGATAGGCCCTGTGGGGTGGGGATTCCCTACTTCCCTATCCCTCCTCTAGAGATGAACCTTGAGTATATAATGAAATTCTTTCTGTTCCTATTTTAAATTGGGATAAACAAAAGTTGCAAAAACTAATGGCTATCAAGCATTTGGGATACCCTGTCCTGCAATGTCTGATGGGGATGGGTTATGTTTTCATGGCAAAGGACAGCACTTAATTTTTTGTCAGGAGCCCAG